AGTAGAGAGAGAGAGAGAGAGAGAGAGAGAGATCAAGGTAACTGTGAACATATCGCAGTTTCTATACCAGACTTTCGGAAGGTTTAAGCCTTCCCTGAGCACCTGTGAGACCGCTAGTTACTAACATTAATTATATATAGTGGTGAAAGGACATAATCTTTTAATGAGTTTGGTCGTAGTATTGAAGAAGGGATGTAGAAGCTTGTGTCTGTTGGTAGGGATTATAAGTTGGTTGAGGGGAGGGAGGGAGGGAGGGGAGAGAAGAGGTGATGAGAGGAAAAGGAAATGAAGTGAAATAGAGGGGGGGGGGTGAAGAAAAGGAGAAGTAGTGAGTAAGAGTGAAGAAAAGAAAATGAGGAGAAAGAGAGGAGACAAGATGGAGGGAAAGAATTGAAAGCGAGATGAAGGGAATGAAGAATAAAGAACAAATGAAATGAATAGGAAGATAAGGAATGAGGTGAGAGAGAGAGAGAGAGAAGAGATGATGAAGGAAAGAAGATAATAACTAAGAGGAAGAATGACAATCACAGAAATAGATCCTCCTCTTGCTGATGATAAAATCAACCAACGTTTTTTTTTCATAAATATTTCCATAAATATCTCTACAGCTTATTTGGATTTATCATAATCGCCTTAAAAATCCATCATCTTTTCTGGATTCGTCTTATATGAATAGGAGATAAAGAAGGTACAAAAATAGGATGAAAAAGATGACATACTTTAACAACGGACAAAGGAATTCTGTTATACACACAAACGTATTAAATAAGGTTTATCTTCCAGTTCAACCATAAAAAGCATCTGTCTCCTCTGCCCACGTGGGATATATTTTTATTTCTATTTCTTTGATTTAATGAGAAATATTTCCAATATGGTAAATTTTGCGGTTTCATTTAAGATATTGTCTTACTATAATAACATAATGGTACCTAAATCAAGTTAGGTTAGGTTAGGTTAGGTAAGTATAATGATTATCTAAAGCTGTGTTCCCCAACCCTGTGACCCAAACCATTTACTAGTGTGAACCGGCGAACTACTGTGACCCAGGAGCAGCTGTGACCCACTTAACAAGTTACATACGATTGGCAGCACTACAGACTCGCCGAAGAAAAAGGCGAAATTTACTGCAGCGAAGAGGAAATGGAGTGCAGCTTACGTCAAGTATGGATTTCATCTGACTGGCGAGGAAAAAGAGAAGCATCCAACAGCATCATGCCTGCTATGCCTCCAAATGATGTCAAAGGAATGCCTGGTGGGGAACACTTGTCCTTCTTCTATAATAGCGAGTTTGAATTTTTCGATAAAGAGGAAATAAATACAGCGCTGTATATTAAGTACCGCTATTTTGCATTTTGTTCCTATTATCATGCCGAGGCCGAAGCACCCGAGAGGTATCAAGACCCACATAACTAATGGATCTTCTGTTCATCTCATGTATTATGTTACAAAATTCAATTTATTGTATTCTCAGGCATCCAATCATTTCACTGAGATCATTTGCATACACATGAATAAGTTATGAAACATCGAAGCGTAAGAGAGAACAGCTTGAGACACACTGAGGAGATACTTGATTATCTCTCTGAGTCTGTGTCACCTTTCCCCTCCTATATAACCATTGCTGACTAACTTACATTATAAACTTTCATTTATTTACGGGTTAACTCATGTTTTGGCTACTGAGTAAATTTTGGTGAGTCATGTTACTGGTACACCCGAGCCTACAGGTGAGGTCTTACCATATTTAACATAAGTGATTCACCCCACCTGAACCACCACACTCGGCCCGCCTGCATAATTAAGAAGTGTATTATGGTAATGGGGAGAGTCTAATGGAATGTGGCAATGTTGAAATGTCACAGACGTATAAAGATAACATCACTGGAGAGAGAGAGAGAGAGAGAGAGTTATCCAATAGGCCCTCCATTCGACAAAATTAGTGGTATTGGATTAAACACTGAGGCCAGTAAGCCATAGATTATTGACATGTAGTAGTAATCAGAGGGCGAGAGATGAGCTGAGTTCTCCGTGACGTTAGGGAAAGATCTTGTGCACGGAAGAACATTTTTTTGAGAGGTTTTAATCATAGTGAGATACTATTAAGTGTCCTTGTGGGAGAAAAGTACTCGCTAGGACTTTTTTTTTAAATTTCCGTATGGAAAAAGAAATAAGGATTATGTGACCAACTTTTCAGGAATGATAGCATGTTTCCTGCTCGAGGGATTTTTTTTATTCAAGTCAAGGATGTTATTTAAATTAAACAACAGGACCCGCTGACAGAGAGCCGCTAACCCACACACGCTAAAATACAACACCGTGTATAGAAATAATTATTGAATCCTGATATGTGTTAAATTTCCACTGACAATTAATTATTCTATTCTGGCGTCATATAGAAAAAATTATGATCCAATATTGTATCAAAGTCAAAACACATTAGCGGATTTCCATTAATAGTTACGCTCAAATTAGCTATTAGTTATGTTTATAGTAATTTAGTTACGTGTGATTGAGTTGAAGATTAGTTGTACGTTAAGGCATTTGTGAATTCCAAAGCAAAGAAGAATGAGCTAAGTCACATGATGGCTAATGACGAGAGAGATTAAAGAATATGTATATCCATTGTTGTTTACCTCATCCTTCCTGGAGGTGTCAACACAATTTCCCGGACACGAAGATCCACACTGTTAGATAATGTATATAAACACCCCCCCCCCCCTCCAAGGCATGTGCGTCCAAGTGCAGGTCCATATATAGGTACACTAACCCACCTATCCACACACTATATAGTTCTTTAAGTTAAGTTTCTCAAATCAAATTTTACCTTCCTTTAGTTCCTCTCCCTAGGTTAGGTTAGGTTGTGGAAATTACATCAATATATAAGGATAGCAAAACCGGAAAAAAAAAGACCACAGACAGACAGACAGACAGACAGACAGATAGACAGATAGAAGACAGGAGCCTTCTAATAGTTCTCTCGTAATGATCAACACATAAGCCTTCATTAGAGTAAAAATTTAATATTTCCCACAGTAAAGTTCCGTAATAAATAAGAAGAATATTCCCAGGACTAAAAGGAAAAAAAAAATAGTGTTTTATTCTCAACATTTCGAATATATATAAAAGAATTGATACTCGTTTTAATCTCACATGACGGTCGTTAATAGCCAGAGAGAGAGAGAGAGAGAGAGAGAGAGAGAGAGAGAGAGAGAGAGCCTAATCCTGAAATACATGTACGAGGAGATTCCACCTTTAATCAAACTTGACAGGTTAAAGAGAGGTGTAAGCGCCTCACCTGGTCGACAGTATATCAACACCAATCATAACAGCCGCCGTTTGTGACAGGGGGGAGGGGCAGGGGGGAGGGGCAGGGGGAGGGGCTGAGGAATGGCAGGGGGAGGGGCAGGGGGAGGGGCAGGGGGGAGAGCCTGGGGTAGGGGCAGGGGGTGAGCAGTGTATCTTATTGTGCTAGGTTGGTTATGAGTAGGAGAGCCAGCCAGACCTAACCTAACCTAACCTAACCTAGCCTAACCTAACCTAAACTTAACTTAGTCATTTTAAACAAAATGACCCACACCAAACTTAATCTAACTAACAATATCTTGTTTTAACCCAATTTAACCAATATTGTCCACATTAAACCTAACTTAACCGAAATTACATCGCCAAATTTAGCCAAACATAACCTCCAAATTTAACAAAACCAAAACAACCTAATGCAACCCAGCGTAACCGTACAGTAGGGTGGTTAGGTTAGGTTAGGTTAGGGTGTCTGTTGACGTCTTAAGAGGAGTAGTTAAGAATCACAGGTCTATTTCATAAAAAAAAGGCCTGAGTGACGGGCTCTTTCTAGTCACACGTCATGGACTTCAGTTATCAGGAGAAGAGACCGTATATATATATATATATATGTGTGTGTGTGTGTGTGTGTGTGTGTGTGTGTGTGTGTGTGTGTGTGTGTGTGTATATGTGTGTGTGTGTGTGTGTGTGTGTTATTTTCAGGTTAATTCTCGTACCCACTTTATAAACTACCTTTGTTAAATTACATAAAGGAGCCAATTAAATGTCTTCTCAGGTCTAGAATTAAAAAAAAATGGTACTAAGTTTTTTGGCATTCGTGTGTGGGTACATGAACCATCCTGACACTCTACATCTGGACTCATTTCACAAACTGGAAATTCCTGGAAAATTTTAATGGCAGATCAAAGGTTTTACGAATTACATACACAGATAGAGAGAGCGGCAAAGGTGGGGGGGGGGTTGGGGGGGCTGTGCATGGATGGGAGAAACTAGGTGAAAATAAATGGGGAATATTAATTTTCTAATCCCAAGCTTTACTATAGGCTAGGTTAGGTTAGGTTGGGTTAGACAAAGTTAGCCCAGGTTATAATTCCAGGGTGTGTGTGTGTGTGTTTTTTTGGAGAGAGAGAGAGAGAGAGAGAGAGAGAGAGAGAGAGAGAGACGAATTATCAACGAATCACTAAGGAATTGTTTCTTAACCATGCATCTCCAAGTCACTATTGTCGAGGAATAAGACACCAAGTGATACTGTATAAGTTCTCCCCATGGCGACCCTTCACGTCTACAACCAGCCAGCCAGAGTAACGGGGTGGTCGCGTTTGTAAACATCATAGAAAACTTACAAACTGAAAAACAAAAATTAAAGGGTAGCTAATCTATTTGGTAAAGGGTTGTTGCTGCTGCCGTGTGGGGTTACCTGAAGATTAGACACCCTAGCTTACTTCACCTGATGATTAAACTTCCTGTTAACGTTACCTGAAGCGGTTAGGCTAGGTTAATATTAAAGTATTTAAAGGTAATAAGTTTGGGTGTCTAATTTTCATGTGATCCCAGGGTTCATTTCCTGTCCTAAGAGTTGCTGTATCGAACCAGGACACTCCTGGTCCACCCAGTTTTAAGTGAAGTGAAGGTGATGGCGTATAGTGCCGGCCACGCTGCCTCCTTGCCTACAGTATATTGTACCTAATGGGTCGTCATACCAATGGGACCCACGGCATAATTTTCTTCAACGATGAGATATCAAAGGGAATTATAATTTTGTTTTCATTCAGCTGAAAAAGACAAACTCAGAAAGAAAATATATACACGAAAACTTTACCAAAAAATGTATATTGATATAAATCCGCTTGTTTTCCACTGGGATTAAATAATAAAAAATCCCACCAAAAAGAGAAAAGTATAGAATTAGTTATATTCACTCGGCTTCTCATTAATAAACAGACCTATTGGGTAAAGTGAACACCACCGCCTGGAATAAAAAAAATATTATCAGGTTGTTAGCGACTGAAAGGAAAAAACAACAACCCCTTTTTTTATCGTCGGAAATTCCCCATTACGAGAGAGAGAGAGAGAGAGAGAGAGTTCAATAGCTCAGATAAATCAATACTTATTCGCTGAAGGTTTCCGAAAAAAAAAAGAACGGTAAATCAGTCACACAAGAGGAACAGACGGAGGAGGAGGAGGAGGAGGAGGAGGAGGAGGAGGAGGAGGAGGAGAGGAGGAGGAGGAGGAGGAGGAGGAGGAGGAGGAGAAGGAGGAGGAGGAGGAGGAGGAGGAGGAGGAGGCAGAGGAGACAGAGAAGGAGACAGAGGAGGAGGCAGAGGAGACAGAAAAGGAGACAGGAGAAGGAGAAACTTACATGGTGTTGGCGATTAGCAGCACAACAGGGAAGGAGATGGCCAGATGAAGGTGTCGCTAGTCTCTGATGTAGTAAGCGATGCCCGGGAGCAACATACAGCCGAAGGCGAAGGGCACGGAGAACATGATGCCCACCACACTCCTCTGGCTCATGGTACACGCCTCCACCGCTGTATGGGAGGAGGAGGACGAACGGTGATGGGTTAAAAATGGGCTCCAGATCTAATACGCCCCAAGCTTTAATAAGACCCCCTCCTCTCCTAATTTAATCTATCGTGACTTATTTTAGCTATTAAGACGAGGGCCTAATAGTCATAGGCCCTATAAGTCCTATTGGATCCCAGTCCTGATAGGCCCTAACCTAACCTACTTATCTTAACCTAAGCTTGGATGGGGTCCCCTTTTTCACTCGCCTTCAGAAAGAAACATATTTTTTTTCTCATTTACATGTACAAGTTTCAAGCTTATTTTCACTCCTCTAAAACCAATTACGTAATACACAAACATTCTTTCATAACATAACACAACATAACATAACATAACATGACATAACATAACATGACATAACATAACATAACATAACACAACATAACATAACATGACATAACATAACGTAACATAACATAACATAACATTACTATATGTTCCATCTCCCGTGACGTGACCAGAGGAAAGTGAGACCTGCTATCATAAGTTTACAAAAGGAACGATAATTATTACTTAAATTATGACTTAAATTAAAAAAAATAATATACTGTATCATCTAAACAAACATGAAAACTAGTAAAGAAACGCAAAAACTGTATAAAAATGTACTGGTCTGAATAACATGAAAATAAAAGTATAACCTTAACAAATAAATAAAAAAAAGCTGTGGGGGGAAAAACGCCGGAAATAAGTATAAATGTAAAGCAAATTGTGAAATGAAATGAATGTGGTATGTGGTGGAGGGAGGTAGGTGATGGTGGAGGGATGGAGATAGTTGGTGGAGGAGGGAGGGAGGCAGGTGGTGGTGGAGGGATGGAGATAGCTGGTGGAGGAGAGAGGGAGGCAGGTGGTGGTGGAGGGATGGAGATAGCTGGTGGAGGAGAGAGGGAGGCAGGTGGTGGTGGAGGGATGGAGATAGCTGGTGGAGGAGAGAGGGAGGCAGGTGGTGGTGGAGGGATGGAGATAGCTGGTGGAGAGGAGGCAGGTGGTGGTGGAGGGATGGAGATGGCTGGTGGAGGAGGGAGGGGCAGGTGGTGGTGGAGGATGGAGATAGCTGGTGGAGGAGGGAGGGAGGCAGGTGGTGGTGGAGGAGGGATGGAGAGCTGGTGGAGGTGGTGGTGGGAGGGATTGGTGGAGGAGGGAGGAGCTGGTGGAGGGATGGAGATAGCTGGTGGAGGAGGGAGGGAGGCAGGTGGTGGTGGAGGGATGGAGATAGCTGGTGGAGGAGAGAGGGAGGCAGGTGGCTGTAGGAGGGGGCCATCTCACACTCAGGTAAGACAACACCATTATCTCACCTGACGCTCCCTACCATCCCTAAGCTGGTGATGAGAGAACGTGAAAGAATGTATCTCATTGACTTATTAACATGGCGAGGAAACTCCATTCTGACTATACGGGAACAAGGGAAGTTTTATCAACACACACACACACACCCGCACACACACACACACACACGCGCGCACACACACACACACACACACACACACACACACACACACACATAACTTGTTGAGCCTTTCAACATTCTCTTTGATGTAGAGCTTTCACCCTCGTCATCACTCGTTATTATTATTTCTCTCGGAATCTAAAGACAGATATATATACTTGTGTAATTATGAAATGCTCTAAAAAAAAAAAAACACACACAAAAAACATAAAACAAAACAACTCAAACAAAAACAAAACAAAACAAAAGCAAAACTTAAATCAAAACAGTCTTTCAACGTGTATATTTCCTGGATCAAACATTAACCAGATTACCTTTGTACCTCATTTAAAATTTTAATTAGTTTCTCCCCCCCTCAAACAGGAAAAAACACACAGTCCGTTAGCCAAAGTTCATCAGCGTTTGCATGTCAGTTTATCAGGCACTTTTGGGGGGGGGGGGCACAGACACAGGCGGACAAATGCACAGTCTGGTAGTAATGACCACTATAATCCTTGGGTAGGGATTATCAGGTTAGAATTATCACTAAATTTGAGGGTAGGGATTATTAATATTCTAATTATTTGTTACAACCATCCTGTGTCACTTAATTGTCTCGAATTATAATGGTCCTAAGACCTAACTTGTTCCGAGTCCTAATGGTTCCGAGTGCTAATGGCTTCATCTTATTCGGTCCCAGTCCTTACACCCCCCCTCAAGTCCCATTAGATCTTAGTTCTTAATGGGTCTTTAATCTTAATGGATGATAAATTATGGCGTGTCTGGGACTGGGGACCACTTGACCTACAACCACCATTTCGGGGTCTTGGGTCTTTATCTTCTTCCAGATCTCCTCCTCACACGGTCTTTCGTTTTATGCACTCTTCCGTATCTCTCTCTCTCTCTCTCTCTTTCATCTTCTCTCTCCTCTACACATTTTTATTCCCACCTTCTTTAACCTCTCGATTCTGCTTAGAGCGATTTATTTATATTGTACTTATTTTCCTCTAATATTTTCTTCCTCTACTGTTTACGGCTTTTTTGTTCAATTTTCAGTATAATTTAGATTTTTTGTGTTATAGTTAGGTTAGGTTAGGTTAGGTAAGGTTAGGTTAGGTATTCCTTCCCTGGCAGGATACTAGGTCACCCGAGGAATTGTTCCATCGCTGACAATACCATCCCGACGGTGTACTCATTCAAGGCTGAGTATGGTGGCTGATGTATCCGGAGAAGGCCCTTGTACTTGCTTTTAATTCAAATTTCCTCCTCATTTCTCTTTCTTTCTCTAATGATTGTTACTAACATTCCTGTCTCTTTTTGGGGCCCTTTCTCTTATTCTTTGTATTTCTAAATTCTTTTGTGTTATATCATCATTATTAAACTTTTCTATATCTCTATTTCAATTCACCCTTTTTAATCCCCTTTAAGTCTTGTTCTCTTGTTCCCCTTCTCTTTATTTATCTTGTGTTGCATCTTTATTAAATACATACACACTTTTTCTTAACTGGTTATTTCATTATTTCATATTTTTTTTAATTACTTGTTTTTTTTTAACTCTCTTAATTGTTTCACCTAGTTATATAAGTCTAGGTTAAATTAGGTGAGGTGAGGTTAGGTTAGGGAGTTAAATCTTCAGGTGAAGTAAGCTGGGGGGCTAATCTTCAAGTGGTCCTTATTCGCTATCTACAACAATTCTATGTCTTCTCATATCTCCCTCACCCTTCCATATTTTCCTACCAGAGGCTGTCCACCCCATGATATATGAGTCTGGTAGAGATGCCCAGGAAGTGAGAGGAATCTGGTTGTAGGACGAAATCTGGTTGACTCACCCAGATTATAGGAGAACTGGTTTTAGGAACAGATTTAATAGATTCAACCAGGACAAAAGAGGGCTGGTAGACTCACCCAGGATGTAGGAGGTCTGGTAGACGATTGTGCCGGTGAAGGCCATGAGGAAGCGACAGAGAAGGAAGAGCTGGTAGTAAGGAGAGAAGGAGCCAGACGTGGACACCAGGATGAACACCCACAGCGCCCCACCCATCACCCTCTCCCGTCCGAACCTGAGAGTGGTAAGGAGACCATTAAGGTTAGGGTAGGTTAGGTAAGGTTGTTTAATTAGCAGGTGAATAAACTGTTGTGTCTAATCATTTGGTGATTCTCTAAAAGTAGTTTGTTCTATCCAAGACGATTTCCGACGAGAGGGGAAACTTTAAAAGAAAATTACAGCGGTCGTGGGGATAGTTTAAAATTTAACGTGTAGTGGTTAGCTATCATCACCCTTGGTCACACCACAGGAACTACTACTACTACTACTACTACTACTTCAAATAATGAAAATGACCCTAGTGATAATAATTATTCTTGTTAAAGCTACCGTAGTTAATTAGGTCTAATGCAGTTACACTTATTTCAATCAATTAATTATTTACGCTGGTCATCCTCACAGCATGGCATCACAGCTTTAATATTTGACACACAAGAACAGCTAAGAGATACGTTCCTCCAGTTAAAGAAGAATAAGTTTTCCAATTCTATTCTTTTCCTTCCCACAGATCTGATAGGGCATTTCACATTCTCAGTCCCCATTCCCAACAAACTTTGACTTCCAGTTAATCATAGATAGCATATCGAGAAACTTAATACACCATAAGATGCAGTAATCCCTTCCAACTACTGTCGACTATCGCACCTTGGTCATCCTTGTTAGGTTAGAGTGTGTGTGTGTGTATGTGGGTGAGTCGCTATCGTAATTAGGGTCATATTAAGGTAACAAAAATACGAAGGTTGAATGCAAATGTTCGCCCCTTTAAGGATAATGAGCGATGCTAAAAAATAATTAACTGCACAACAACGTGGTCAAGAGCGTATCAATAGTTCTCCGCGTTCTTAGAAAACTAACATCCCTCCCCTGGCGCTCCCCCCACCCCCCCACCTAATAAAAAAAGAAAGATATATAAATATACACAATAAAGGAGACTTGCAGAAAACAAGCAAAGGGGACGTAGGCGACGACATTTTGTGTATCCAATAAACAAGATTTATTTTGACAGTGGACAAGACTAATGCAGACAATAAAGGAGAATTATGTAAACAACACGGGGGACAAATGTAGACAGTAAAGCAGAGACGATGACAGCGACACATTGTTTGCCTGCTGTGTGTGTGTGTGTGTGTGTGTGTATTCTCATCTAATAGAACAAATTTAAAGTTTTCTTCATAACGCTGGTAGAGGGATGACGGTATACCATCCGGCCAGGCCAGAGACACACTGAAGATTACAGACATGTCAAAGTCCTGTTAAATTTCCGGAAGGAGTCCTGAACATGAGAACTTTTCCGACCCTGCCGCATCTCCCTCCCTAACGTGATGTCGTTCCTGCGTCGTCCCTGTGTCATCCTTGTGTCGTCCTTGTGTCGTCCTTGTGTTGGTCTTCAGACACCCGTCACTGACTCACCTCACAGGAAACTTTCTCACGGATGGTATAAACTTGTCGACACCAGAGACTCTACCTTCGTCCCTTTTAAGATAGTCAAGAGTTTAGCTCCGTTCCTTGTATTCAAGATATAAACTTTATCCCTTTTAAAATGTACAATATATTAGCTTTTACTTTCTTTAGGTGTTCACATTTATCTTCGCTAGTCTTAAGATTTTCAAGTTCTACCTTCGTTACCTTTAAAATAGTGAAGATTTTATGTTACCATCGAGATAATGACCTTAGCTTCTCTGATTTATTCACGACAATTATACATACATTATATATATACTGTATACATTTCGCAGCAAGAATCATTCACACACGTTTTGAAACACCTCAACACAGACGACTCACCCGTGACAATACACAACTAACGAGTGTTTATATTTGGATCAACATAAACATTTCAGTATATAGCCGTATCGTCAGGCAGCATGAAGAGTGAGTCAGGTATAGAGGCGAGCTGCTGAGGGGCGAGCAACATAGGGATATGATTCTGCGAAGCTTTGTTTTAGAAGGGTGAGAAATGTAGCTGATGATTCCACTTACATATCAGCAAAATGAGTGAAGAGAGAGTTTTACTGTGTGTGTGTGTGTGTGTGTGTGTGTGTGTGTGTGTGTGTGTGTGTGTGTGTGTGTGTGTGTGTGCTAATGGGTAAAAAATTTATACATATATCAGTTCCTTAGAATTTATTGTATAAAGTATCACGAAACTAACAGATACAACCATTTAGAAGAGCAAGCCACACGAATTAGCGACACAAAATTAACCTAACTTAACCTAACTTAACCAAACCTAATCTAATCTAACCAAACCTAATCTAAACTAACCTAACTTAACCTAACGCAACGAAAACTAACTCAGGATTGGTAGGGTAAACGTGTGTGGGGGGAGGGGTAGATTAGTGTAGGCTGCCTTCCTTAATAGTATAGTTATCCCTCTCCTTAAATAACCTTTTCTCTATAATGTGTATACTAGGGTGGGTAACTCTCCTAGATTACTCTCGTCTCGTCACTTTATTGCTTCAAGCTTGACCAATTTATATACTAAGCAAGGCATATAAACAACAAAGAAAGATTTATATACTGTACGCGATGAGCAAGATAAGTGTGGACAATATGTAAGACTCATATATATATACATATTAAGTAAAATTTATGTGTAGAATAAATAAGTAAGGGAGAGCAATTTAAACAATACATCAATGTTGTATGATAAGTAACACTAAAGATCGAGAGATGATAAGCAAGACGCACCTAGAAAATAAGGAAGACAGAGATAATAAGCCAAATTTTCTAAGTCTCTTATTTTTTGGTATATTTTACGTTGTGTTGTTCCTCACTTGGTTCGGTATGTTGACACAATTTTCATCTTCTCGTTGCCGGCAAACTTCTCTGAACTCCGTCTTCACTTGTTTTCGTGGCCGCATTTGTGTATGCATGACGGCTCGGAAGGTTTGTATTGGGATTTATGAATATTTGTGCCTATCTTCGGACAGATTAACGCATGATAAGATTGAAAGCGTTATCATGTTTTCTGAGTGACGAATTGTACCCATTTCTGTCATTCATCTCTCACTGGTACAACTAAGGTATGAAAATATATAAATAAAATACATTAATACCTAAAGTACCGTAGTAGAAAAAAATATATGATGATTTTTCTGGTTATCCTTGGTCAACTTACTGTCTGTCTATGTAATATTGTGTAATTTGTATACCTATATTATCTATCATAGTGTGGCGATTTTAATTAAGAAAATGTCTTTTTTCTGTCTGTCTGTCTGTCTGTCTGTCTGTCTGTCTATGCCAGCAAAATTCTAATCATCTGCCATCAATTTCCTAAGGAGGACACGGAGGACAATATTTTCCCCGGATTTTTCTGTATTCCTGAAGTATGAAACTAAAATGTTGAAATACTCTAAGACAAGATGAAAAAAATAAAGGGTGACAGCAAAAATCCCTCTCCACTGCCTTCACATTTTTCCTGAGATGTGAGATATGAAAGGTATCGTCTCTCTCTCTCTCTCTCTCGCTTGTTTTCACATATTTCTTGGAGACGTGACACAGAAACAAGACAAAAATAAGGTGTGGAATTACCTGTCTGAGAAGTAACCGCCCAGTGGAGCACCGAAGAAGATGCCAAACATGAAGATGCTCTGTATGACGGAGCGAAGTGACTCTCGCCCACACACTAGGTCCCACTGTAACACACACACACAGTCGGTTACAGGAATCCTAGCGAGTCCTGAAGGATGAATGAATGAATAATGTCGTAGGAAGGGGGAATCCTAGCAACTATACATCACTGAGTTGAATGAGAACAGTAGAGCTTCATTTAATTCCAGTAATTTCATATATTCATACTCTTAATAGTTAGTTATTTCTCAAAGATTACAAATTCTCAAGTTAAATAATACACAAAGGTTAAATAATTCTCAAAAGTTAAATAATCCAGAAATGTTAAATAATTTTTAAGTTAATCATTCTCGAAAGTTAAATAATACACAAAGGTTAAATAACTTTAAAATGTTAAATAATTATCAGTGGTTAAATAATTCTGATGGTTAAATAATCCCACAAAACTCTAAATCCGGGGAGAAACTTTGTGAAATATTCCGTCCTGTTCAGAGTAAAGGAAAAGAAAATCCTCAAAAATGTGTTAATATATTTCAAAGGCGTGTAATATGAATTCGTATTCCATTCTGTGTATTATATAAAAGCAAGTTTATCCCGGCTGGTGATCCCCGTCAAATATGTATATCGCACACAACAGGAAGCACCACGTGTCCATCAGATCAATACAACTTGAAATGTTACACGTCCAGTTCAGCTACAGATAAGAGGTTCTGAACACTTTTATTGTGTGTGTGTGTAAAATAATAATAATAATAATAATAAAAATTAACGGTTTATTGAAAAAAAAATCTGCAGCCCGAAGGCTGAAAATATACATTGGACATAAATGACTTATTACATACATTGGTGGTTTGACAAAAGCCTTCATTAGAGAAAGGTGAAGGAACATACAGTGAGCATACAGATTAATGTAGGTGTTGAACAGCAAACTCGTAGTGTAGTAACTCCCTCCCAGATGGTGTTAGGAGGAACTCACGTGGTGTAGTAGTTCCCTCAGATGGTGTTATGAGGGACCTGACGTGGTGTAGTAATTCCCTCACAGATGGTGTTATGAGGGACCTCACGTGGTGTAGTAATTACCTCACAGATGGTGTTATGAGGGACCTCACGTGGTGTAGTAACTCCCTCCTCACATATGGTGTTGTGTGTGTGTGTGTGTGTGTGTGTGTGTGTGTAGTATGCAAAGAGCCAAGAATTTGTTTGTCTGTGATGTCTATCAAACACCTGCGTTCGCATACATATATTATTAAATATATCTGCACACGCACATGATATACAAACACACACACACACGTATCGACGTCTACACACCTCCACACAGCGTCCCTCCCCCTTCAACCCGAGAAATTAAAATATATATTAAATAGCTTTGCTGAGACCAGTTATTGTACGGCCTTATAGCGCCAGAGCAGAAGGAATGGGTGACTATTCTCCTGACGTCAACTCACAGGAGGGTGAGGGTGTAGCTAGCTGCTGCTGCTGAGTGCTGACTGACTGTGCTGGCTATGACTCTAAGCTTTGGTAGAGTTCCTGTGCAGTTTTATGCCATTTTGATTGTCATGTTTATGTCAGGGATAATATGAAGCACTTACGTGCACTCTCAGATCTTTAGTAAGGGGGGATATTAAATTGCGAACAAGTGAGATTTATGGCGTCAAGACTCACCTCAGAGATGAGAGTTGAGTGGAAGGTGTGGGTGTCGTATTCCCAGCTGGGGCAAGGTTGGGTTGGGAGAGCCTCCACTTCAGCGCTTTCGTCAGGAAAGTAGTGGAAACGGTCCTCCCAGGCCACGCCCACCAGGTGACTGTAGTTCCTCACGTACATCTCGCACTGGGAGTGATGTGGCACTCCTCCTACCGTTGTTCTGGGGGTGATAATATTAGTGATGATGATGATGATGATGATGATGATGATGATGATGATGATGATGATGAGAGTGATGATAAATGAGGCTGACTGATGAATATTTCTTATGATTATTATTAAAATTATTATTATCTCTATGATCAAAAAGGTTATTACTGTTACCATGATCATAGTTTTTGTAATAAGTTCGTCAAACTGTGAGACAACTGTGAGTGGGAGGTCCAATGAGATTATTTGGTACGCGCACACACACACACACACACACACACACACACACACACACACACACACACACACACACACACACACACACACACACAGGAAAAGAAAGGTCATTCAACATACACAGGAAAGCGACGAGACTTTTATCAGAAGGTCAGGTGGAACTGGTCATGGCAGGGCGAGGAATGGTATCAGGTTCTGTTCGGTGATTATTTTCGGGAAAGAGACAGGACAAAGGTTGATTGGATGTGTTCTTTCGGAATATGGCACCCAGTCATGTGCCATCATAGACATGACACCCGGACAAGTACAATCAATGAAATGACACTTTGTGAAATACTGAAACATGAACCCTGAGCTGAAGCGAGATGCCTGAATTTATCTCGAAAGGATGAGAGAGTAGGAAGAAGGAAAACATGTAAACAGGACATCTTGTGAACTGCTGTGACTTGTATAAATATTAATAGAACAGGACATTGGACACAAGGCTAGAGAGTGTCACTAAGAAAGAGAGGAATTTTACTTCATCAAGATATAAAGGAGAAGATTACTACCCAGACAGGTGTGGTGAAGAGAGAGAGTTACCTGGGTAGGGAGAAGCTCCACACCTGTTCCTTGGTCCAGTTGGTCAGCTCGGGCACGCTGCACCAGTGGTCTATCGTGGGGCTGAGGAAGGCCGTCGCCACAGCCTGCATAGCCCCAAACACTCCCCCTGGTGACGACACACACACACAGGTTACAGGTCAGTAGGTAGCGAGGATAATGTGTGTTTGTAGCGTGTTTGAGCAGGTCACTGGGTTAGGTTAGGTTATGTTAGGTTTGGATATTTGTGTTTGTGTGTGTGGAATATGAGGTGGTGTTTGAGTGTAAATGTTTGTGTGTGTGTGTGGGGTGAGGGTGTTTGTGTGTAAATAATAATGTTGCAGCCGGTGGTTGAAAATATACAAACTTACGTGTGATTTAGACATAATAATATACTTTCAATACATTTACAGGGCTGTACTGTACATAAATCAGGAGTTGTTTATTATTTTAACAATAGATGGGATGGTGCTGTTCTTATATGTATCAGTAAGGGCTCTTATGGGATGAATTTTGTTGTAGTGAGGAAGTGGGAGTGTTTGTGTGTGCGTAGGAAGTGGGAGTGTTTGTGTGTTGTGGCTGGGGAGATGGGGTGTCTGTGTGTGGATGGAGGAGTGGGAGTGTGTGTGTGTGAGAATGGAGGAGTGGGAGTGAGTGTGTGTGTGTGTGTGTGTGTGTGTGTGTATGGGTGGGACTGTTTGTGTGTGTGTGGAGGGGAATGGAAGTGTTTGTTTTTGTATATATGTAATAATAAATAATAATAATAATAATTAACGGTTTATTGAAAAAGTTCGGCAGCCCGAAGGCTGAAAATATACATTGGACATAAATGACTGATTACATACATTGGTGGTTTAACAAAAGCCTTCATTAGAGAAAGGTAAAGGAACATACAGTGAACATACAGATTAATGTAGGATTGTACGTGTTGAACAGCAAACACGTAGTGTAGTAACTCGCTCCCAGATGGTGTTAGGAGGGACCTCACGTGATGTAGTGGTTCCCTCAGATGGTGTTATGAGGGACCTGGCGTGGTGTAGTAATTCCCTCGGAGATGGTGTTATGAGGGACCACGTGGTGTAGTAATTCCCTCACAGATGGTGTTATGGGGGACCTCACGTGGTGTAATTACCTCATAGATGGTGTTATGAGGGACCTGACGTGGTGTAGTAATTCCGTCACAGATGGTGTTATGAGGGGGCCTCACGTGGTGTAGTAATTCCTTCACAGATGGTGTTATGAGGGTCCTCACGTGGTGTAGTAATTCCCTCACAGATGGTGTGATGAGGGACTTGACGTGGTGTAGTAATTCCCTCACAGATGGTGTTATGAGGGACATGTGGTGTAGTAATTCCCTCACAGATGGTGTTATATGAGTGAGGTTTGGTCCCAGGCCTTCCTATCGTAGACGGATTAACACATCGCTGGTTATCACGGGCCGTTATCACTGGGTACCTGGGACCTCACTGTGTGAAGGTTAACTTGGGTACGACTGTTACTATGGAGTTGTTCTCACTGACTTAAGCACTTAAGTGTGTGTGTGTGTGTGTGTGTGTGTGTGTGTGTGTGTGTGTGTGTGTGTGTGTGTGTGTGTGTGTGTGTGTGTGTGTGTGTGTGTGTGTGTTTTAATAAAGTCTATATATGCAATATTATCTCGCGTTGAACATGTTTGAACAAATTTAAAATTGCTATAACACACACACACACACACACACACACACACACACACACAAAACCTTCGTGAAAAGTGAAACAAAAACTTCTATTTTCCTCCGACCGTGTAAAATTTAGTTTCCAGTAGATAAACTTTATAAGACTTCCACGATTTAACTTGGGTGTTATGGCAGAGTCTTACCAAGCCTTATAAATTAGAGTCTTATAATTTTACAGTTATAAATATTTCAGGTGGTTAGATTAATGCGTCCTTGTAATTTATTAGTCATATGAATGATTACTAATATATGTAGAGACATTTCAATTATAATATAACAATATATACCAAAGAGACTTAAGTACTTTTCTTATGTAATTTTCGTTCTTATATGTGATTGGATCCGTCACGCCTCAAGTCACACACACACTGTACCTGGCACATGAACTTCCTCTACTACCTGTGTTTTAGATCAGGTGAGTTAATGACGTATTGAGGGCTGAATCGACTTTGAGTACACAAAAGGCAGATGTGTATTGCTTGAGGGACTTGGGTTTAGTTTGAGTCTTTATTAATTGTACCTGTTACTGAAATAAGCTTAATTCAAGACTAAACTGTACCTTCACAGACCAATTAGCTGAATTTCTTTATTAGACACAATCACGTGAAGTGTAGTTGTTGAAGAATGCGAGTCTTAGTTAAGGTATATTCTAGGGACTTTAACAGTTATTGATTATGTACTGAATGGTTTTGTGATTAGGCTGTGCAGTGTTATGTTTAAGTGATATTAAAGAGTGGATAATATAATCAGTTAGTCAAGCAAAACAAGTATCTGACTGATCACCACTACTCCACGATCTTGATTAAGTGTTGATTAGTTTGGGTAATAAATGAGTTCTCTATTTTTTACGTCGTCATTGCATAAAGGAGATACAACACAACCTCGGTGGGTAATAGTTTTAACTTTATACAGTAATTCGTATTAATTTTCCACGCTTTAACATTAAGATATATTTTCATAACATATTCCTGGACCGAGAAGTGAAGCACAAGCATTTCATACATTCCTTTGCAGTTTAACAAGAATGTTGAAGTATGTACAGTACAGTATTCATCTGTTTGTAAATGTGATTCTTCAACAGGTGGTCATTTCCGGCTTGAAGTTCAATCCCTCCAGACAGAGTAAATCCTTCACGTTCAGGAGATAGTCCCAACCATGGGCACTATTGTGAGCTTCTTCCTGAATCCTTCGGGTTTTGTTGAGGGTTGTGATGATAAAGGAATTGGAGGAATGTTAAATGATGGAGGAAATGACACAAGACAAGGGGCGGAGGACTGGGTGAAGATGTTTTTTTTTAGTTTAACAAATTTATTGGCAGAGCTTGTAGTACAGTTTGCCTATTATGAGTAATTCAGTCAGGTCTTGACACTGAGGGTGGTATCACTTCTCACTGCCACGCAGGACGGAGGTTCATACATAAAGAAATACATCATATTCATTAACAGCTATATACAGTATATATAGAGGTCAGATTCATGTGGGTAATGTCACTGTTCACTGCCATGCAGGACACTTAACTACTACTACTACTACAACATCTTTACTATATTACTACAGCATCTTAACTACTACTACTACAGCATCTTAACTACTACTACTACAATGTCTTTACTATATTACTACAGCATCTTAACTACTACTACTACTACATCTTAACTACTACTACTACAACATCTTAACTACTACTACTACTACTACATCTTTACTATATTACTACAGCATCTTAACTACTACCACTACAATGTCTTTACTATATTACTATAGCATCTTAACTATTACTATTACAGCATCTTAACTACTACTACTACAACATCGTAACTACTACTACTACAACATCTTAACTACTACTACTACAACATCTTAACTACTACTCCTACTACATCTTTACTATATTACTACAGCATCTTAACTACTACTACTACAATGTCTTTACTATATTACTACAGCATCTTAACTACTACTACTACAATGTCTTTACTATATTACTACAGCATCTCAACTACTACTATTACTATAATGTCTTTACTATCTTGCTACAGCATTTCTACTGCTACTACAATGTGTTCACTATATTACTACAGCATCTCAACCTCTACTGCTACTACTACACTATAACATGTTCAGTATGAAGCTGAGGAACAAAATTCCAACCTCACTTTTTTATATTTTGTAATCTCTCCCTAAATTTCAACTTTAGGTCACCAGACGGACCAGATATTAATATTATTATTACTTTCAAAATGGATCGGGTTCAACTTGTCCAATTCAGAGACGCTCTCAAGGAGTTGGAGAATCTGGAGGCTCTCCGGACTTCGTCTGTATTAAGCCTTCACCTCCCATCATCTTCCTCCCTGATACTCGTCAAAAATAGAATCAAGGATGAACAAAGCCGCGCGGCCAACATAAAGTCCGTTTCCAACCGCTCTTCAGTGCAAGAAGCACTGAAGAGCGCTGTGGATATGTTATCCACAGTCAATGCCATGCCACCCCATGGGCTTTTAGTGTTTTACGGCCAATCAGTTCTCAACAAAGCAACCGGCGAGGTGAGTCGCCTTCGCCGGACGTTAACACCTCCTCAACCAGTTCAAGAATTTAAATACGATGTCAGCAAGACATTCTCCACGCACTCACTGCACCAATTACTCATCTCCCAAGAGGGAGGCGTTGGCTACATCGTCATCGATGGGTCAGCGGTTGCCCTTGGAACGCTCTCTGAAAATGGACTAAAAGTCCACCACCATGAGAACGTGGACATTCCAAAAAAGCACGGCAGAGGTGGCCAGTCCGCTCCCAGGTTCCAGCGCATCCGCCTGGAAAAGAGACAATTGCTGGTGAAGAAAGTAATTGCTCTCAGCGAAGATTATTTTCTGAATGAAAATAAGGCGACCGTGCAGGTTCATGCCCTGGTGGTAGGGGGTCCTGGTCAGCTGAAGGACCAATTGGTTGAGCGTCTCCCTCAGCTCTTGAAGAGTGCTGTAAGATCTGTAATAAACACCTCATACTCCGGCCGTCAAGGTCTGAGGGAGGCCATCAATGGCACACGGGACCTCCGCCAGCACATGCTTTTGGAAAAGTCTAACACTGTCCTCAGTTCCATATTTGAAAAACTCAGGGTCGATGAACCGGACATGGTCTGCTTTGGTGATGAAGTTCGAGCGGCCATGGAGGATGGTGCCGTCAAAGTTGTCGTGCTATGGGACGAGTCCCCTGAACTCGCCTATTTTACAGAAAACTGTCCCGAGGGGACTGAGTTAATGGCGATACCCAACACAACTAATAATACCCAAATGCTTATAAGCACGTTTGGGGGGATAGCGGCCTTAAATAAATACCCAAGAGCCGTCCCAAACGAAGAAGAGGCCGAGTGAGGCAAAAAAATAAAAAAATAAAAAATAAATAAATAAATAAAAAAAATAAAAAATAAATAAAAAAAAATGTAAACAAAAATAAAATAAATGTTTATTTTTACTTTTATAAATAACAGGACTTTTCTTACTAAAACTAGTCGTTCTCAAATAGCCACTTAAAATGTACCAAAATGA